GGGGGGGAATTCGTCTTCGGGGGGGAATTCGTCTTCGGACAATATGTCTTTGGAATTCGTCTTCGGAATTCGTCTTCGTCTGCGGGTCAAAACAGCATACCCGCAGAGCGGCTACAATGCAATATTCAATACATCATTTACTGTTGACCTGCTTTGTCTGTTCCTCCCTGGCTACCTGCCCAGGCCGGGCGAAAGGCGCCGCTCGGACTGAGGACGCCGGGCACATTCTCCGCTGGCCCCAAGAAACCGAGCACAGACCTGGGCAGAACAGGCCAAGGTGTTTGGTGGCAAACACCCAGAAATGCCGGGCGGAGAGGGAATATGATCGATTGCAGCTAGATTCTTGCTAAATGGAGTCTATACTCTACGTACCGCAAGCTTCAACTCTGGGAATATGATTGGGTGCGGTGGGGGGAAGGGTCGGGCTCTCTACCCTGTGACACTTGGCACGTGAAGAGATCTCTGACTCTCCAATTTGCGTCGAGCAGCTGCAACGAATCGTTGAACTGGGCAACGTCAATGTCCTGCCAAGTGGGGCGAAAGACGCGGCTTGCAGCCTGCAGTCGGGCAATTTGCCCCTCATAGAAAACCATGCAGGACTCCATGCAGGCTCAAGTCATAAGACCCTTTGATGGTAGGTCCCAGGAAAGCCCACAGTGGAAAACTAAACAAAGATACCGATGTATACAAAGTGAATCAAGCTGAATGTTTCTGATCAGCTTCTTCTTCTTCTTCTTCTTCTTTTTCTTCTGCTTCTTCTTCTCGCCCTGAGCCCAACATTAGAACTCTGAAACAGCAACGTTGATTTACGATTATATACGTTGATGATGATAGCCCACATGGGGCATTCCACCCATATTTCACTGACTTACACTGGAGCAATCTGCGCCACACAAAGCAACGGCCCACCATTAACGAGTCTGAAAGCGCTTCGGTCAACACAAGAGAACCGCTTGAATCATGACCTTCCCGCAAAACCTTCGAGTCATCTCCTTTTTCGTGGAAAGTCCATCATCGTCATCCTCCATAACCATCGGCCAATAGCAGCAACCAAATGCAACTGATCGCAGGGGCACTCGTGGGCCAAGTTGCCCAAGCGCCACCGAACTTGACGAATTCGGCGGGTATCAAACCGTGCATCCTGGTTCAACCAGCATATTGCTGCACACACAAGATGTCAGAAAGAAAGGAACATTACTATATAAAGACCGCAGTAGGAAGGAGCTTGCAATAGTTCTTGTCGCAGACTTCATTGCGAACCGAGATGAAAACGGGTCACCCCCTGTGATGCAAAACCACGTTGAAAACGTGGTTTAGTTAAGCATGTCCTGCAAGGAGTTCAGCGCAACCAGCTAGGCCATTTGGGGTTTGGGACTTGCCTTCTTCCCCGAAGCTGTAAGGAATCACAATTAATTAACCGTTCTTTTCTTCTGGCACTTCTGGTGCAAACACCCCAACTTTGTCAAGTTCTGTCCGAATCTGACAATCCTCTTTTTTCTTCAAATATATCCATTTGGCTAATCTGAAGCACGACGATGTCAGGGGGCATGCAGGAGCCCCCCTTAATTGGCCGGAAAGCTTCAGACTCCAAGTGATCGCGACTCCCCTTCGTCATGCAGCTCCTTCAACATCGGGCCGGTCCGCATCTTCATTTCCTATAGGGGTCCACATACCCTCTGAGAAGGTGATTGGAACCTCCAAGCCGACACAACAGAGTCTCCAATCACTTCCTCAAAGGGTATGTGGATCCATGGGGATTATATATACACTATATACCTATACATTCCCTAAACACACAAAAAAACAGAACTCTAGACTGTAGAGACCCCTCTTAGCATGTCCAGAGCCGGTCATGGAGGAGGCAACCATCACTTAGTTTGTCAACCAGCTTTAAAGCTGGGTTGCTCAGCTCACCTCGTTGCCCAAGATACCCCTTAGTCTTTCCAGGCTGGTGGCAACACAGGATAGGCTGCCACTCAGGATAGTCTTGGTCTTTCCTTCATATAAAAGTTTGCTAGAAAGACTCATGGTCTGCGTTAAAAAGAACATACCAGGGCCCCCTGTTTGGGGTGGTTAATGGATACCCCTTGACCTCTAAGGAGCTATACAGTAATTGGACACCAGCTTCAAATCGGCTGACCAATGGAATCGTCGTCTTCAATGCCCGGAGATCCTCCTTGGATCGTTTCGCCACTTGGAGGGTCTAACAGGGTTCCTCAAGAAGCTCCCTCTGACGATCACATCACATGTTCAAGTGGATGGCATGGTCCGGAAAAAGCGGTGTTTAACTGTTTCTCCACGAAGCCATGTGATTGATTCGTCGTTGCTTCTCTAACGTCGACCTGCAGCCTTCGCCATCTCAGTGCGACAAGGGTCCCACCATCGTTTTTGTTCGCCCGTGGAGTGCAACGAACAACCACACTGCAAAATGCAGTGGCAACTTGGGATGTAAATGGCAACTTCTGCAAGAATGCCAGCCATCTTTTCGCTCAACAGGGGCCCAAGAATGGAACATTCTCCATTTCTTTCGTTGAGGTGCTCACTTCCTCCCAGTCCTGTCCCACCTGCCGAAGTGCTTCGTGGAAGCGTGTGGCCTCAGGGTGCCATCGAGATGATTTAAAGGGGCCACCAGGGTAGCAGCTTTTCCCCACAGGTCCTCAAGGTCCTCAAGCTCTGTTTCATTGCTTCAACTGCGGGAGCAAGGTTTGGTCCTAGAAGTGGCTTGAGTTCTGATGAGTTGCGTGGCTGGAGTCGTTGGAACAGGCACATGGCTTGGGCAGTCAGCTGTCCAAACAAGCTTCAAAACTTTGTCCCCGCCTGCCTCACAGAGATTGCGGGGTATGGGTTGAATCCCATCTGTTTCGTCTAAACTTTGTGACCCCCTTGCCCAAAGGCTAAGCCTTGATCCTGGGTTTGAAGCAGATTTGGCCGGCATGTTCGGAGTCTCTGAGAGAGTGAGATATACCAGGGCCCCCTGTTTGGGGTGGTTGATGGACACCCCTTAACCTCTAAGGAGCTATTATTAGACACCCCTTAGGGGGCCTAGGTATGTGTATATGTCATATTTATAGTTATATATATAGCTATATGTTCTTTTGTTTTGCATTTGTTCACTCAAGGGTGTTCACATCCATAAATTTGCTAGCAACACGAATGGGTCACAAAGGGCCTCAGAGATGGCAACAAGTACACAAGACCCTCTCTTGAACCGCTAAACAAACAGGAAAAAACATACTGACCTTTCTTGAGATTCATTATCATCATCACCAGCATCGTTATAAACACCAGCATCACCATTATCATTGTCCTCATCATGAACTGGGCGCCCACTTCTCCAAAGCAATCGACCCCTTGTCTTGGGTGACATCTGAAAACATAGAAACAAACGAAGCCACCTGAGTCCTGTTCTGTCCTATTTTTTGGGGAAATCTATTGAAAATACAACATATATATATATATATATAACATATACGGTTTTCACAAGTTTTCACACCACAATTCCCTCAGCCTCCCTCATTGAATCACAAAAGAAAACCACTCATATATATATATATATATGATATCATACGATGTAGCACAGACCCGAAGAAGGGAACACCAAAATCGTTTGGAAATGCTTCACCAATACAACACAGCCCCATAAATAACAGCTTCTCAAAGCACAGCCCCCTGGCTCAATTCATTGAACCTCTCAAGAACATCATAACTCACCAACAAACAAGAAACTCAGTGGTTTCAATAATCCCAAGTTGAACATCAACTTGAGTCAACATACACCAGCACCTTCCAAGTTCGATGATGTTCGGACACCCCGACTCACCTCTAAGAGGCTATGGACATAGACACCTCTTGGAAGCACTCAGTGATCGACTCTCTCGCCACTTCACCACGACAACCCGGTGATCTCGCGACAGCGAGGCGTCCGGCGCTGGTCAGCAAATGTCCCGTGGGAGTGGATGCAATCAACGCCTGACACCGGCGCGAACAGTCGCGCTCGCCGTTCCGCGTCGCACCCGCCGCGCGCGAAGGGTCGGGTGGCGGGTGGCGGGTCGCGGGTCGCGGCGATCGGAGCATGGTGGGGCAGGTGGGGCTGTCGGTCCAGGGATGGGAATCGACTTCTTGGCGATGGATCGAAGGGCATGGATCAAAGGATCTGACAATTGGTTTATCTGACAGTTTGTTTTAGGGAACAAACGATTTGCGTGTTCCAAGGATTATAGATTTGTTTGTCCAAGTGTCAGTGAGTTGGGAATGAACATGAAAGGGGTATCAAGACCAGTGCCATGGGTTCATGGGTTCAGAGCTCGTTATTCATCCCATCCCCAGTGCGGATGGTGATTCATCCCAAACGGCGCGTCTCAGGTCTCAGCGGTGCTTCACTTTGTCAACATTCTTCTTTAGCCCTTACCGCTATGCAAGGATCGAAGTGATGAAACTTGGCATCAAACTCTGTGACTGCTGGATGACTGCTGGAGAAGACTAGGGGTTTTGAGCTCGCAACCCCTATGGAATGTTGTAGATCCAACCAACTTCAAACGAATCCACCTACCATCCTCTTCACATCCTACGAACACTGAAGAGATCTGAAGACTATAGGAAACCCGACGTCCAGACTGATGGGTGACCCCTTGAGCTTATCAACCACTGGCTAGCCTAGGGAAGGGGTCCATGCAAAAGTTCGAGTGAGTCAAATGGTTGGAGCCCTATAGGGCCCCTAATTTGCATATATATATATATATGTATAATATATCACCTAGACCGCCTAGACCTTCCTCCACTGCTTTGGAGTCACATAGAGTCGTGACCTCTTGTCCCAGTTGGACTCGTTCGCCGCTACCAGGGGCCCCACGGGTTCCATCAAACACCAGGTGTTCCTACAGAGGTTAAGTGACCGTAAATAGGACCCGAGCTACCAGGGGTACCTATATAGGATAGTCTAGTTCGGGTTCTGACCCACCTCTGCTGGTTCCCAAGCAAAAACCGTGTATTTGGTGCGTGAACACCTTGGTTTTTCATGGTTGGCTTCGGGCCCCTGGTACTGAGCTCTCTCCCGCCTCCACGATCTCCCGAGAGGTGCCGGCCTGGCGAAGAAGGCACGCCAAAGAAGGGGGGTGAACCACCCAAACTGGTGGGGTCGAACCACCAAACAAAGGAAAAGAACTACCCGGCCCAACTCCAGGTGGTTTCCTTATTTTTGTTGGACTGTTTGGACCTGGGGCTTTTGGTACTTTCCATGGGAGGCTTTTGAACACCTGTCGGACAGGCGACAGGTACTTCCACTTCGTGCCTCGATTTTGGGCAGCACCCGAAAGACACATGTGATGCAAGACCCCTTACTATGGCTGTACCAAGTTCAGGGCCATGGGCAAGGCTGCGAGGAAAAGAAACCACTCCTCGGGAGCGATGAAACAACCCCGTAGGCTTGCCCAAATGCCCCCCCCCCAACCGGGTACCTCCGGCACCAGGGGAGCGAGGCCACAGGAGGGCGGGCCATTCCAAAGGAAAGAAAAACGGAACTGCGCTGCTGGCAGCTCACGAAGCCATCAGAAGGGCCAACCAGGCCGCACCAAAAAGTGAAGGGCCGCCCCCGCTCAGTCAAGGGAGGTCCGGCTGCTGGAGCAAGACGAAACTGGAGCCATGCTCTTGGAAGGTTGAGACCGTTGAGAGCCGTAGCATGGAACACAAATCTGAGTAGAACCAGTAATTACAAGTATTGCTGACATTTGCTGACTCCCTGGCCATTTCCGTGGACAATAAGGGTTACATGTTTATATCCCCACGAGGACTGGCTCACTGGCCGTAACCATGCCAACGCATGCCCATGCTCTGGGGCCCTGGCGGCATCATAGCCGTACAAGGTGCCTCAGGGCAAATACCAGGCGACTGTCAAGTGCTTGGCAAATGACATGGGCAGTGCAAAAGTGCAAAGATTTAGCATGGCTGTGTAAGGAAGATGGACATATGCAAACATCTTGCACGGACAGAACATAATTGGAAGAAATCCGAAATCCAAATGCCAAATGACATGGACCATCTTCTGGTGCTTGGTATGTTTTCCTTTTGTACGGTTTGGATTCCTGAATTTAAGATTTCCAGCTTCGGTCAAAGGGTTTCTTGAACGGTCAAGATTTTGGGGGTCTCGCAATACATAGGCCTTAGCCGAGGTCGGTGCCCTTCAAGCACTCACCCAAACGCTCACGGATCCTCATATATGGAGGAGTCGGACCCTCCATAGAGGGGCCTGGGGTCTCAAATCCCTGGGCGTCGAGGGACTGAGGGCTGAGACCAAAGCGTTTGGGCAAAGCATTTGCTTAGTATACGATGTGATTGGTGATTTCTTCAGTGTAGATCAGTCTAGTCTTTGTTTTCAAAACGGATGAAGCACTGAATTCCGTGTGTGGCACCAAACCTGATACATCATAAAACCCTGGACATTTGTATACTGTATACCGATCAAACGGAGAAGGAACAACAACGTCTGCTCACTTCAAGAATCTTAAGGATTGTCCACTCCATACACACCAGCAGTGCAGTGGATAAGTTTGGCACACACAAAGGATTTAACATCGCCGGTGCCACTGTCTGGAGCCAACATAAATCCCACAAACTGCAAATACTTCCGATAAGCCCACGTAGTATATTGACACCCAAAGACAAACAACATCAAACAACAAAATATAAACACAACTAAAACATGAGTCTTTAAAACGACAAGCAATGATTCATGTAAAGTGTTGAAACCAAAAATGACACACAAAACTGTTGGAGAATGACAATGTGTTCTCCAGATTCTAAGGGCTTCTGTTTCAAGTCTCACACTCAACAAGCTACACAAACTGGGAAGTCACGGCGCCTTTTGTGTCTGAGGAGTCGAAGTCAGCTCCTTTGGGTGTGGCGATCTGACTTCCATTCATTCAGGAGATAGATATCTCAAGAACCTTCGACACCTGCTGAACCGGAGATCAGCCCCTTGGACCAGATCTGGGTCGCAGCGCCCATGAAGGACCAGGGTTGCGACGCAGCAGCCTGACGGCGGGTGGTGGAACTTCTCGGAATCCAAACGAAGCAAACGCTTGGGGCCCATCAACTGCAAATCTTCACAGTCCACGCAGCCGGAGAACAAGAGGGATCAAATGATCAACTCGTCTCCGGAAGTGGGTTTTACCCATAGGCCCATAGGGATTCCAACATCGCACATACTATGGCCCCAGAATGCCCAAGTGATCCCAAGTGCTTGTGCAGTTCAAGTTCGATGGACATGGGCCCAAAACGAGGTGCACGTCACGAGCCACGAGTTGTGTGTCTGTGGGAACTTGAGAGAGGAGGGGTGAACGAAAGGTAGCAGGCAATCACAAGTAACCCTGGTAGAAGTCCATGACGGCGTGAACCGGCGCAGGGGGGATTTGATCCAGGGGGGGCCCCCCCCCCGACGAACAGAATCAACTCTTACAGGACCAAACTCAATGCACAATCCCAACTCCTGATTGTAATACATTTTTGCTAAAGCAAGGAGAACTCAGGTAGCTCAAGCTACCTTTCGTGATTTAATGCTGACTGTTGATGTACCAACTTCTGTTTGACATCTCTGTGGAAGGGATTGCTCAACCGTCAACCGTTCACTACGAGGGCCCCCCCCGACTCACGCCCTGTTCGGCGGACACTGGAGTCGTTGGGGCCCGGGTCGTCCACCAGCGAGGCGGAGCGAGTGCTGGTTCGGTGTGACCGGGGGAAGCCGCGAGTCTGGACGACTGAGAGTTTGCTCTATGAACAGGCAGATGGTTTCCAGGTAATCATGATGGTTTCAGGGAGGGTGATACTATAGTTATATGGTCTGTGCAGTGGACATGGATCAGTGAAGGGGTTCAAATGTTCAAAAGAGGTCCTGAAAGAGTTCAGGCTCCAGTGGATTGTTGAATCATGTGTCCTCACTGTTGAAGAATTGGGTGGCCTGAGCCGCCCCCAAAAGTTAGCAAACTCAAAACACATCCCTATTAGTATCTCTTAGTATGCGATGCTCGCCGGCTTAAGACTGCAAGAGATTACACAGTCCCTCCAAGTCCTATCGAAACATGATGACGATGCGCGCACCTCAGCCACACGGTCCAAGCACATACGCTTGGCCAAGGCCAACCTGAAGGAGCAACATGACATGCAACAAGCGACATGACATGAGAAAAGCAAACACATTTAAAAAAACAACATCATCAGTCTCAGTGGATTCAATCATCATCCCACGTGAAGGTTGAACATAGAAAAATATCTGTCACAACAACCCAAACACTCTTTGAAGGCCAACATGGAGTGGCCTACAGCGTCCTATGAGGTTTCTCCATCTGCTGCACAAAGAAGCAAAGGAAGGTTCCTAGCTAGCACTGAGCAAAAAAGCTGCACACGTCAATACCGGGCAAACAGTAGCAGCAACAATGAAGGAAATGAAAGGTGCGTGCTCTGAGTATTCAAAAGCACTTCATTGTGCAGGAAATTCTGAAACACATAGACTTTGACAGGGCATACATGGGCATACGGTTCTTCCATTTCGCCCGTGTGCTTGTATATCAAACGTTGTGTGGTTTCATGGGTTCTCTGAATAATTAATGCACTTCCCCGTTCGCACAAACCCTTACAATCCATGGATGGCACATAATTGCGTGCCCTGAAAATTATCCTAAACATTGGTCCCTCAAACAACAGCCCCATGGATTCCATAAGGGGCAGCTTTAAAGCTCCGAGCTTCAAGTTGGACTCTAAAGTATGTCCGGCCTAGCGCGGTCTCCCATGCCAAAATATCCACTCCCAATAGCACAAAGGACGCGCAACGGTTGCCCCGCGGAAATCCGAGGACTTCATCCAGGGAAAAATGGAAAGTCACCATGCGGGTTGTCACATGCCATGCGATCGTGGCCTGATCACATCCACTGCCCACCTAGCAAATGAAATTTGCAGCTGCTAAGAAACTGAACTCCGACACCGCCTATGGCACTTCTGCGACTCTGCAGTAGGTATGATACTTGCTGTGTCATGAAACGACTGATCAAAAGTATGCATACAGCACAGTAATCATTGCGCTGTGACTTCAACTTTTGGACTTTTGGACTCGTTCCCCCATTCCGGAGATTGTTCATGAATTGTTAACTGTTTCTCACAAAAAAAAGGTTCCACATATACTGTATACTCCCGTGCAGACTAACATGGAACACCGAAACCACTGGGGTGTAGAGGAACATTGTCTTCCATCGGTCCATTTTCGGGTTCCATGTTAGTTTGCCGGGGGGGCGTAACCAAGGACATTTGAGGTTCCAACATGTTCCAACAAGTTCACACTGGGGAGAACCACGACCAGGCATGTTAAGCCAACCCGGCAACATATCATGGGCCAAATCGCAACCCGTCTCTCCTCCCAAATCGCTTAAGTGCCAAGCTCTTCCTCTGCAATGCCATGTCGTGTGATGGTCAAGACTTCTTGGAGCACCTGCAGTCGCAGATTCCCAATGGCATGGGCCGATGAAGACTGGAAGGATTTGGATGAGTGGGGAAAAGTGTCAACAAATTGGCGATCCCCCACTGAGTGCGGGTTGCTTCAGCCCATGATAAGAATGTGCATGAGACTCTCCTTGCGAGCATCCCAATCTGAAACTCTCCCACCAGATTGGAGAGGTTCTTTGAGGGGTCAATTGATCGGCATATATTCCAGTCCCAAAAAGGTCGTGTCTGGCCCCCACACCCCTTGCACGCTCACCGCCTGACCCACCAAGCCCCTCTCAACCTGAATCGAATCCTACATCGCCTATTTAGACTCATTGCTCGTATACGCACCCAAGAAAACAAACAAAAGAGGCACAAGAAGGTACCCCCAAATCAAACATCTTAACTCCCAACACCCCTTTCTCCATGTCCATCGTGATTTTTGGGGAGAAGACCGGCCCACGCCCTGGCACTGGCCCTCCACCCCGCAGCATCTCCCCCAGGCACTTGCCCTCCATGCCCGCCTCCTCACAGCGATCCTGCCAACGCGACGGTTCCACCTCAGGACCAGGTCCGGTGACCGTGGAGAGGACCCGAACCCGGCGAAATGGGTGTGTTTACCAATGTCCGGAAGGAAAAAAAAACAACCCCAGGCTCCTGGCCCATATCCTCAGGTTCGGTGGTTAGACCCTCCTGGCACCCACCCCCGGCCCACCTTCTCAGGACTAGGGCAAGTCGTACACCTCATTGAGGTCTCGAACTCCAAAGTCGTACATGGCAGAAAGGACCCTAGACAGCCCAACGATCTGAGGAAAAAAGGAGTCAGCTGGAGCCCGAGTGAACTCATCTGCAATTTTGATTCTGCAACTTCAACCACCAAGATTAGGAGCCCGTCTACTTGTAGATTGCTCCCCAAGTGCGTCTCCAAACAAGACGGAAGCATGCAAAGGGTTGTCAACGGTCATAAGAACACGGGATTGCACCCAAGTTCCGAGTAATGTAACTTCCAGAATGGTGTTGCATCTCCATGTTCTGTTTTTCAACAGTCTACCAGTCTACATCATGACATTGTCCCCCCCAACACTGCTCCACGGCAGGAACAAATCATTGATCTTAATACATGAACTGAGGACCTAGGGCTGCTTTCAGGAGGTTTGCGAAGTGTCTCGTAGGGCTGCTTTCAGGAGGTTTCTGAAGTGCCTCAAGGTGGGCACAGTCAAAGTGTTTGAGACAGGTCGTCTGGTGCTTTCGTCTCACACATGTCAACATCCGAAAACAATGGACATGCCGCACATGCCCAATTTTATTTTTGAAAAAAACAATCTCAAAACCCATATGTTATTTGAATCTAGTACCTGCCGATCCGATCCTCTGATGGAAACAAAGAGTGGGTTGCCCACAAACAACTACCAGGGCCTTCAAGGGGTGGTTAATGGACACCCCTTAACGGCTAAGGGGCTATAAATAGACACCCCTTGGAGGGTCCTGGTACATTTGCAGTAGGAATTGATGCCATTGATGCTATAATGAATGAACAGCTCGGGTGTAGATCATAGCGATGCCAAACACACTCTCACTGCCGCTTTTCAACGTAGCTCAGACTGTACCCCAGTCCACCGGTGACCCCCAAGGGCTTTTGTTTGGCTTCTGAAAAACGGGGCTGGGCCAGGAAGCTCCAAGAACTCACTGTTGATTCACAAAATGACTGCCCACAATCAAGTTTTTGCTCTAGAGTCTACATGAAGAACCATCCAAAAGACTTCAGCACCTGCACATGCAGTATACAGACTTCATCAGACTTCCAAGCTAGGTTCGATTGTTCAGTCACAACAAGCCACTTCGGGGATGTGTGTTCTTTTTTCCCCGAGCTCCAGGCCATGATGGTCAAGGTGGTGATCGTGACCGCTTCGCGTGCGGAGTCCTGACCGAACACTGCTTGGAGTCGTGCGGAGTGAGTTCCGGTGGGGAGTGAAGTTCCGGTTGCAGAGACCTCTTCGACTAGGAAGTGAGCAAATGTTTTTGTTCTCGATTATATGGATATCTTATGGATTTATGTTATACGATAGACATGATCTGGATTCGGGTTGAGTTCGTTAAAGCATCTGAAACCTGAGAAGCTGCTCCTGCAGTCGTGGGGTTGCACCCCAAACATGGAAGGTTGACCATGCCGGGCAGTCTCTTCAGTGGTCAATCAAGCTCCCCCGGATTTGACTCACACCCAATTGCCTATAGATGACATCATCTCTATCCTTTCAACTGAGTATGGTTCTTTCAGAACAGAAAAAGTCCTTAAGAAACAGCCCAGCCCACCACATCAATCCACTTCATTCCACTCCACTCCACGCGGAGGTGCCCCGGCCAGACCTGGCTTGGACGAGACGCGGTGAACCACCGTTTCGACCCGCCGCTTTCGTCCGAGGGACATAGGAGTGCAGGGTGCAGGGGATCACGCCCGAACGCCAGCCTAGGTCGCGTGGCCCTTACGCCGCTTCAGTGCGCGGAGCAGCCGAATCATCCGGTGGAGGTGGTGGAGGTGGTGTTTGGTCGGTCTTCGAAAGACCCACATGGAACCTGAAAACCCACGTCGGGTTGTGGACAATTCTAGTCTGGTTCACACACCGGACTGGACCCGAGGAGAGGGCCATGAGATCGGCCACGTGGTGCAGACCGTCGGTGAGGCTTCATCCATGTTCATCCCCAGTTTTTTGACTCTGCCAGGATGCCAGGATCAGCTTTGGCTAGGCCGGCTAGAGAGTATCAAATAGCCTAAAGGTTAATGTATTTACAAGGTATACTATATATTCTTTGGGTCTGTCCCATTGCCTGTGACAGTCGGTAAACAATGATCACCAGTTTAGAGAAAAGGCCGGCAAGAAAAGGCCCCATCATCATCCACTGGGCCCTGGTGATGGGATTCAACGGTCCATCCGACGATCCAAGATATATTCCATCCAACCTGAGGACCTACCCAAATCTATTTGTCCTGTTCTCCTTGCGTCTCTTTTCGGGGTCCTTCCGGGCCCCCCCCCGAACGAGAAACACATGCAGCAGGGGAAAGCATCAGCGTCATCAAGCGTTGAAGCAGGGGTTGAGGTTGGCAAACCATGTGCCCCGAGCACGACCTTGAAGCTGAACCTTGACACAGCATACGTCCGCAAAAGCCCTTGAATGTGAGATATCGGCTTCGAAGGGTTGGAGAGAGAAGCTGAACAAAGCCGCTGGTTTACTCAAGACACCTGGTCTTTGTCGCAGAATCCTTCTCCGTGCATCGCTTCGAATGGTCATTGGGGCCGCTAAAAGTATCAGTTAAGTTAAAGATCCGAAAGGAAATAAAGTGCCAAACCAAGAGATATACTGTAAAGTGTTTCGATCTTGGACTTTGTTTTTGTCTATTTCTTTGATTTCTTTTACATCCATCAACTTGAAACATACCATCAAAACAAAGCTTGACACACCTCCCCCAGTGAGGCCCTCTGAGGGGACAACTGGACTTCAAAGCACGGGCCAGGCACGGGACTAAAATCATGTTGTCGACCAAGTGAAAAAATGCAAGTGAGTGTCATCTGTAACTCAGGCATGTCGGGGTCTTAAATGGGTCAATGAATGTCGAACTATGCGAACCCAGGGGTGTCAGCAGACTCGTCCAGTGCAGTCTGTCCAGCGAGATCGTACGTCGACGTACTCAAACTGGCAGCCGTCCATTGCTGCTCCCAAGTGCCAAATAAGTCTTTTGGCCCCAGGGTTTGACCCGCTAGTGCAGTGGTTGAGCAAGAAACCGCTGCTCAACTGGACGTCGCTGGGTCGCTCCACCCGTCGTGGGCTTCCCCGCGTGCAGAGAAGCGCAAACGCACGGCCTACACGCGGCCGTTCGCCGTCGGGCTGTCGCTGCTTGGAGGATGAAAACACCAGTCTGACAAATGGCACAACTCTCATGTATTGGATTCTACAATGCCCTTACTAAACCTGGAGTTGCACCATCTACTTTCACCCTGTGTGTGCACTGACTTCTCACTCTTGAAAGTCGATATCCGGGCCACTGGCAAAACCTCCAGTGCAAATTAGATTTGGTATTGGATCTGAACAAATTTCGTTACACAGGGAGATGCACATCAAACTCTGGCATTATGATCCAATTTCAGAACCCAGCTTCACAGTGACGATCTATATCCAGCAGTTTGGTTGCATGAACCGCCAAAACTGCCCTACTAACTGGCAGCCTAGCAGTGATGCAGGAACCAAGATCACAGCGAGTTGTTTTGCTGACTCATGTTCCCGATCGAATTTGACCACAAGTAGTTTGCCAGTAATGGGGCCATTAAGTTTGCTGTTTTGATCTGTTTTGTGTGGTGCAGGGGAACACCACCAAACAAGCCCAAACTCCACAAACACGACAGGAATAAAGACATGTGAAGTACCGGCTTATTTACTAGAAATGATGCTCTTAGTCTTAGCCCCCGTCAAAACAAACAAATAGATTCAATATGAATTCCACCTGTTGTTTGAGTACTGTCCGGAGAATGCCTGAGAAAGCTATTTCAATGGGTCATTGGATGTATATCATTGGCAGCTTCAAGTTCTCAAGTTTGTGGAAAACAAACTCCTACGACAAGAGCAGCTGCGGACGTCTTAGTCGCAGCTTCCGCTTCGTTTTCCCCACCGCCTTCCTACCACCCACCGTCCGACCAATACCCACGTCGCCTCGACCACAAGCCGCTGGCATAGCCATTCTCTCAAGTCATTCTGATTCCTGGCGACCCGTCCGACCGTCCAACGACCCGTCCGAACGGACGAGGCACCTGGAGGTGACCGGACCTGTGACCGGTGACCTGGAAAAAAACGAGTACGACGTCGTACCGTACCTGTTAGATATTTATGTCACGGGGTGATGTCACATGTTCTAAGGTAATTACTTGAAGTCGGGTCAAGGTAGGGAGAAAAACAAAACGAAAAACACCAGTTGGATCCAGTTGGGTCTTCGGAACGTCGTCACGTCGTTCCAAGGGGCCCGTGCGTGTGACAGGTGAAACTGGTGCCAAACCCACCATCCATGTCCACTTAGTCGTGATGGTGGTAGTGACATGACATTGTGATGGGTTGGAGTGTGGTGTGATTATGGTGGGGAGTCTGTATCAGAAGCAGGGTCATGTGCACGCCACCCAAAACTGGTATTGTAAGGTTGATGATTTTTAACATCCATGAACTCTTGGAGTTGAAGGTCCATGAACTCTTGGAGTTGAAGGAAGTCTCAAATTAAAACAAGGCAAAACCCTTCATGACAGAGTCATGTCTGGCTCAAGCCAGTGGACTGGGCACGCAAAAAAAAACACTCCGCGCGACTCTCGTCCGCGTGTACCGATCGATCGGGGGCACCTGGCAGGCAACAAGGGCGTCTTCGCCACCCAGGTCACCTCCGAGGTGGAAGGGGCCATCGAGGACTTTGACTTCTTGGGATAAGAACAGCGACACCAAAAGAACCAAACTAGTTGGGTTCTGCAACAAGAGTTTCTCTGAATTTTCACAGTTCTAGTTAGGACATGTTAGGACTGTTCTGCCAGAACCTCTGACTTTCCCAGTTCTAGTTAGGACTTCAACTAATCCTCGTACATCATGAGGTTCCAAGCCCTTCCTCCCGTCCACTGCTCCGGCCATGGCAATATGATTCTAACAAGCCTGCATAGGCCTGCATCCTTGGGGGTGAGAGCGATGTGGTGGAGCTTGATCATTGGTCCGGCCACGACCAATGTGATTCGTTTTGCCCCCCGGGCTGAGTGGACAAGGCTTTGTGACGGAGATCTAACGTATCCAACGCGGGCACATGGCAAAAGCAATCTTTTTTATAGAGCAACATATGGTGGCGCATACCCCTGTCAAAACTCGGCTCGATCCCACCAACTACATTAGGCAAACACAAATGCTTACAATGGACAATCACCTGCGACAACACGCAAACAGTATAAGTATACAGTTGTACTGCATCACCCACTGAAAAAGGACCCACCTATTCATTGTGCCTCTCTTCAGTTTCCCCCAATTAGCTCTCTCAATTGTCCTTGCCCAATCGTTCGGAAGCGCGGGGGCACTGCCCCTTTTTGCCGCTCTTCTTCATGGCATTTGCACTGAACAGCCTTGCGCACTTGCGCTCTGAAGACCAAGAGACAACATCACTTCGCCGGTTTCCCTGGGCTCCCGAAACTCCAGCTGCGGCACAGTCTTTACCTTTCGCTTGTTGAAACACTCTTAAACCTTGAGAGAACCATATCATATATTACACTCATTTTACCCCTATGGTGATGGATAATGATCTCCGTTTGAAGTGAATCATTGGAAATTCTGGCTCAACTATCAACATCAATCTTGCTTAGAACCTGCTCAGGGATGACCACGTTGGCGGCTGGCCCGAAGCGCGGTCTTCCCCGCTCAGCCGGCGAAGTGGCAAGGCTCTGGACTCTGGACCACCAGCTCTGTAGGTCACTTTGGACCACGCGTGGACAGGCCCCAGCTCGCACAAGTCTGCGGAAAACCGAGCCCCGGCCCCGCCACGGGATATTGGGTTTCAGCTACGTCTACGTAGCTGAAGCATGTCAGGGGTGTGGCACAACCACGTCAGCCAAGATCAAAAAGAGTTCCCAACAAAGGTCTTCTACGCATGTCAATATTTACTGCCCAACCCCAAGAGTTCAATGAACATACCTTCCGGAACTCAATGGGTTAAAAAGTGACCCCCAATCCACCATCTGTTGGGAGGTGTTTCGCAAGCGTGCGCCGCCCACCCAACCGCTCTGTCAGGAGGGTGGCAGCCAAACTAAGAAGGTGCGGCCGCCCACTTCTGCATATTGATGCACTTCCCCCTGGGCAGGGCGCCGTGGAGTCGGTCGCTCGGGAGTCGGACACCCATGACACGACCTGGAAACGGGACTGGCGGAAACGGCCACGGCCGTGGCCAGGGGTGGTTGGAGGGGTGATCGGCATATATGACAGACATGGAGTGTCTGGGATATGTTGAAATAAGTGGAAACCATTGAGAACCCCTCGATTTTTGGAACAACACATCATGTCGAGAGGGGGGGGAACGAAAGATTGACATAACATGGGCGCCCATTCTCTGCTGATCAAGCACCAGTTGCCCCTTGATTCCTTGCTTCAAAAAGGGTTTGAATTCCCTGCCAAATCCCATACAGGTCAGATCAGATCCATTGGGGGCCCTAATGGCGCCGGGAGAAAAGACCTGGCGCCTTCTTTGAGCAAAGGTAAAACAAAAAGATCGAGAAATCAAATCCCTCATCAGATTCATCATGATTCATCAGATCATCCTCAAATGCTCTTGGTCTTGGGGCTTACCCACTCCTCCAAGTTGCACCCCACTCCTCCCTCCTCCCAGCCACAGTGGGGCTGCGTGCTGTGCCGGCGCCTTCGAGGTCACCAGGTGCTTCTCCGGGCGCTCGACGAAGTCGAAGCGCAAGCACGAGGACACCGAGAGGTTCTCCTCACGATGCGTGTGCGTATCGCTGGCCCAGGCGGCCTCCACCGCCGCCTTGCAGGAACTGCTCACCTGAGTCAGAAGGGCGAAAGCTGATGCAGAGGGAAAATGGGAACTTGGGGGGTGAGCTACTGGCAGGAAGCATTGAGGGTTTCGTGTTTGAGGGGGAATCAGCATAGAATGATCAAGGAGGGTTTCCCCTCGCACTTTGCACTTAAAATGCTACTTCGACATGCAGAATCCAGAAGATTAATATATATATATATATATAAGCTCGTCGCCCAAGGAGGCTCGTCGCCCATCCGCGATTCAACCGAACCAAAGGCACACTATGCGTACCCAATTCACGCTCACTCACTGACGGGGGGCGCCCTATCAGTGACTGACAGTCGTGGATAGCGAAACCTTTGCACAGTTCGATAGCTTTCCAACAGGATGCGAGAGTTCAGTGATATTTCCAACCGGTGCTATCATGCTGAAAGTGCACAGTATAGAAAACAAATGGTCAACTTGTCAAGACAAAGAGCACATAGCGTGTGACACTATGGCAAAGGGATGCAAAGGGCATAGTCAATTGAACAAATTTACCGCAGGCACATAAAAGTAGCTTTAGGATGCTAAAAAGGGATACAAAATCAATGATTTAAGATAATCAAGATATATAGTTGCGCATCCGCATATGTATATCCTAGAGGGAGTATCATCACATCCCCACATCGATGCCAAATGATGCGAATCCTTTTCACCATGCCATACAATGCCGATATCCCACATCTGTGCGGAAAGTTGTTGTTGTTGTGTTTTTTTTTTCTCGGCATGCTTTTGCAAGTGACCCGGAGCGCTTTCCGCAGCGGTTTTGGTTACGTGCTTCACCACGACAATGGACAAGTGCAGCACGGGTCGTCAAGGGAGCTATGCTATGGCCAGCACCAGTCAAGGCAATCCCTTTATACTTGCTGGATGGTAGAAATCCTCACTAAACCCTCCATTTGGAGGCTTTGGTCGTAGCTCAATTAGATGAAGCACAGGGCAGGAGCAATGGCCAACCCCCCCAAGACATGTTAAGGTCTACTATATAGATAGGTTTAATGTAGGAATTCCAAACTACACAAAACTACCAGTTTGGAGTCTCCATGAGGTTTGGGTCGCACTTTGGGTCGCGTATCCTGACCTAGAAATTGGCCGGCCTGGCAACCAAACTTGGTTCAGGGAGCTGGCATCTCCCTATATCCCAACCCCTGGTGGAGTTTTCTGCGCTGCTCGACCCCCGTCCTCCACTTCGCTCCACTCCTCCTCCACTTCGCTCCGGCTCCCGTTCGGTGCACGACGCGGGAGTTCGACCAAGCCACTTGGAGCCCATTCTCTGGCGCTGTGGACCTGGAGAACAAGGACGACGGCGCCGGACAACTCTCCCGGCAGCTTTGGAACGAAAGCCTGTTGGTTGGAGGCTTCGGGTTGAGCCCCCAGCTCCTGGTTTCTCGGATTCCAGTCCAATGGCCACACCTTCGCGGACCTCCTGGTGGCACATGGGTGTGCATTAGAATGTGGAGACGCCCGCACCAACAGCCTTTAGTCGATCTTTCCTTGATATACGAGGATTCCTTCCTTTGACCATCCCCCAATTTGAGACTTCCTGGTCCATGCCTAATCCTATGGGCCTCCAGAACCACATAAGAAAGCAGTTAGACCCTCCGAGCTCATCCCAGTCCTACAACATCCTAGAATGACACGCTCATGACTGGTGACTGTCACTCGTCCCACTGGTCATCCTCCATCCATGGCCAGTTCCGGAAAAAACCGCGCCAAGCCGGGTGGCTCTAGAAGCTCCAGCTGGTGGATCAGCTGACCTGGTCGAATAAATGGAGAGTGTGGGTGTGGAACGAGAGCAATCTTCAACAATTTGTACCAGGACCATCCAAGGGGTGTCCAATGCTACCCCACACTACCTATAGGCTTCCATTGGGCATCCCTTGGATGGTCCAGCTATCATTTTGTTGAGTTTAGCCGTTTGGCAGCAGCTACGAGTTTTCAAGAACAAACGGGTCTGCGGAGTAAGTGTTGTCGACTAAATCGTGTTTGTCCCGATCTACTTGGTCTTGCACATCTTCCCCAGGCAACTAGACTCACGTAGTTGATGTCTGAAACTACTCCATTTTGGATGTGAAAACCTCTTCTATACCAGGGCCCCCCTAAGGGGTGGTTAATGGACACCCCTTAACCTTAACTATAAGGAGCTATTATTAGACACCCCTGGCCCGGGGGCCCAGATCTTAACGGTGGAGTCTATCGAGTCTATGGTTCAAGATCTCATCTATACCGCGTCTATACCTCATGAGCGGCTCGTTCTTGAATGTCTGCAGTGTCCGACCGGTGAGCTGCGCTGTTCTCGAGTTCGGCGTCCGGACGCCCTCTCCATCCCCGTCCGGACGGAGGTGGAGCCATCCTCCGCCCCTCGGTTCACACCGTCCCAATGACACGATCCATGTCGCCCTTGGGGAAAACGGGCTGAATTCAATGCGGCCCAAGTGTTGCTCTGCATCGCCTTTCTGAAAGCCCTACAAATCTCCACAAAGTCCCGAAACACATCTATAGTGGTTGTTTGCGCAGGTCTTCTCAGCATTATGACTCTTGATTCATAAACCACTTGAATTGAACAACCCCTTCCTGGTTCTTCAAAGTGACCGTTTGATAACCTGGTTGGTTCGGTCACTTAAGCCAACAGGGTCACGAATAGGAAGCTGGTTCATATCCCCTAGGGCTCCAAGTACCTCCTCAGAAGGTATTTGGACCCTCTAAACCCTCCCCAGTCCCACCTTCTAAGAAGGTACGACTGGAGCCCTAGGGATCATTATTCCAACCGTCCGAGTGAGCCGTCGCGTCGTGTGGGGGGAAACGCGCCAAGCGGCCGAAGAGGTGATAGCGCTGCTTGTCGATCCCCACGATGCCACCGATGCATTCGCCTCGGCGAAGGCCGCTTTTTCCGCGCTTTTTCGGCGCACATCGCGGTGCGTGATGGGTTGAGGTGATTTGGGGGCATCTCAATGTTCACCAGAAAACAGGGTGCCTTAGCAGGGTGAGTCTGATTTCAGGAAGTGAAACTGGAGGAATCACAATGATGGATGTGTTGAAAGCGGGAAGAATGAAGCAAAACTCCCCAAGTCTTGGCGAGCGAAGAGGCGGCGCAGGGATGAGGAGTAGCAGTGCAGGTGCAGTGTCGGTGCCACGTGCAGGGAGGATCCTACAGAGGTGAAGTGACCTGAACTCGGACCCGTAACCAGGGTTAGGGTCCGGGTTGTAGGTCTTTTGGGGTCTATAGGATTCTATAGGTTTCTATCTTACCTCTGCAAGGGGGGGAACCTACAGGGTGATCTTACTATCTTCCCTAGGGCTCCTGGCCTACCTCCGTTTCGAAGATGGTTATGGTGGGTTTGGGGCGTTTGGGGGGCCTAACCATCGAACCTGAGGGTATGGGCCAGGAGCCCCAGAGCTTATAGGATAGTCTAGTTCGGGTTCTTCAACCTCTGCTGGATTGCACCCGCTCTCTCTCTCTCAGAGAGGCGCCTGAGTGCACGCCCACGCGTACCCCGATGGTCTCATCCGAGTCCTTGGCCCGGGGCGGGGGGGGTGACGTGACGCTCATTCTGGGTGAAGGCAGGGCTTTCGTTCAAGCCTTAAAGCTAGCTTGTGAGCTAGCTTACTTCAGAGTTCGGAAGAGGTTCGGAATTGGGGATGTGAAGGGAAATGCATGATGATTTCAGGGGAAACTCTGGATGGCAGGGTCCCTTGGAAGTCGAACTCTATAAAAAGGATGAACAAGGGGTTTTCCACCTCCATGGACTCCATGATGATGATATTTTAGGTCCTGGCTGAGGCTTGCTGTAGAGGACTGACTTGGGATCCCCTCCCAAGTCTCGAACAGTGCACTTCCACATCCATCCACATTGTTCCATCCACATCCACTTGTGAGGGGGTAATAAAACAACAACAACGACGACAACAACAGCAGCAGCAACAACAACAACAACCAGGGGCCACTCCAAGCAAGCCTCTGATGCCAGGGGCCACAAGGGCCAAGGGGCCACCCTCCATGACCACTTCCTCCAAGCCTCCGATGACCACTTCTTAGTCGCTCCGATCATCTTCAACCCGAAGCGGATCACCTCCCCGCTCTGCCGTGCGCTCCGCGTGCGCTGCCCGCGTGCGTGCGTGCGTTTGCACAGCGAGGACACCGGTCTTGCGGGTCGCCTCTTGTGAGACCTGTCAAATCCTCTTGTCAAGACCTCCTGGTTAGGGCCTTTGAGGGTAGGTCCTTGGGAAAGTCGACATCTCTTTTTACCTCAGTGGGCGGGGTCTACGCCTCTCACCCGCCGCCCAAGGCGGGCCCGGACTCCGAGGATTGGTATGGTTGGTCGGACGTCCGAGGTGCATTGGGCGGATAGTTGTCCAGCGTCAAGGGTGGCTCAGCTTGCCCAGCGATGTAGGCATCCCCCACAGTCTCCACCTCGTGCGTTGGACTGTGCGACACGACACGTGCAGTCACTGGATCACCCTGAGCTGCAGTCACCTCTAGTGCTCTGCAGTCATCCTGCAGGAAAGCCAGGATGGTTGGAGTACAAATCATGGTCGTCTATCACTCCAACATTCAGTTCATCGACACACTTGGGCTCCACTCTCCAAATACTCGGATGGAGTGATTGCCAAACAAGTACCAGGAACGAAGGCTTACCCCTGCAACATCCATGAGAGGACATGAAGCTTTACCAGCTTCTTCTAAGTGACCTTTTGAAGGTTCCTAAGTGACCCTGTTGGAGGCTTAAGTGACTTCAAACCAGGTTATCAAATTTAAAAGGTCACTTTGAAGAACCAGGTAGTGGAAAAGCGATTTGATCCTCTACATGTCGAAAGGTCAGTTTCCTGTTTTGATGATGGCTGTCGTGGCTCGTCTGATCAACTCTTCTTCGGTGCGATCCGGATGGACGGACTGCTCATGCTTCGGTGCTGTGTGCACCCGCACGGTGCTGAAAACAAAAAACAGCGGACTCACCTTGTAGATCCCATACTCATCAGCCAAGCCATCAAAAAGGCCAAACAGGTCCTCAGCCGTTCACACCACAGGCATACACAGGCGAACCGCCGTATGCCTGGGACGAAGGCACAGCGAACGAGAGAGATTGAGAGTGTTTGGGGGTTCTGGGAGCAGAGCGAACGATGAAAGCCTAACCCCTAAGCCAAGGTCGTTAAAGACGGAAAGAAGGCGTACACTCTGGCATACTAACATTAACATGGACCCTGAAAACCACAGTCACTGGTTCGTAGAGGAAAACAACCCTCCAGGGGGCCATTGTCAGGGTCTATGTTAGTTTTCGGGAGTGTATGTGTAGAAGACACCAATAGAGCCTTCACCCGAAGGACATAGAAGGACCAAGTTGGACAAAGTTGTTAACATAGAAGGCGGAATCTCATTCGCGGAATCCCAAAGACCGCGGATGGAACCAGCGTTTGCATCAGCATCACCTCCTATAATGGTGGAGGTGGCAAATGGGGATTGGCTCCCAAACGTCATTCTGGGAATCCATCAAATGTTCATAGTGCATCATCTATTGTCCTTTTTAGGGTTACCGCTCGCCTTCACCTTGGAAGGACAAGTGCTTACCAAACACAAAGCAACTTCGACTATATACTAATTATCCTGCTATAGTGATTCAGTGGCTTCCCTTACCTTGGAAGGTCCTGGCATACTTATAACCATCATCCAGATTCATCCAGCTCCGCCCAAACCATCCACTGGATGGGACATGATGGGACCCAAAACCAGCCGCCGCCGGCTGCAGCTCTGCACACACTCCGGAGCTTCGCCGTTCCGCGCGTGAAACCTCCCTCCGGCACCCCGGCCACCCCAGCGAAGGCACGGAGACGGCCTTGACCACGGCCTCCGGCGGTTTCAACGAGGCCATGCGCGTAAAGCCGATCAAATCACTTTGCACCAAGGTGGCCCGGTGGTAGTGGTGCCTGGGCGGTGGTAGTGGCGCAGGGTTAAAACCCTCATGGCGCTGCATGGTGTGCACTGCATGGTGTGAAGGTCAAACATATAATGAAGATCTGAAGACCAGTGGGGCAAAGATGGTCTGAAGTTTGAAGACGCCTGAAGGTGAGGGGAAGCACTGGAGCCCACGTCCTGGGGAGTGCTGGAGTACAATTTTGTAGCTGCTTTAAACGTCCAAAGACCGGACTTTGACACTGGATCTGCCTGAAAAGACACTGGATCTGCATCTCACTCTCGTCGCAGTACCTACCTCTTTTGAAGGTGACATGAACCCACATGAACCCTATATCCCATCCACTCCACTCTGTTTGTCTCTTTTACCAGTGCTTATCATCAGAGCCCCCAAACGCCGCCGGAATTCAGGCGCGGAACAGCGCGCCGAACTCTGCCGAGGAACGACAAAGCACTGGAGCCCGCGGGAAGACGTTGGAGCTCATCCATGACCGGTTGGGGCATCCTGAAGACCGGTGAACAGCGACCCGGAGCGCCCACCGGGCTCCGAGATCGGTTTTCGAAAAAGCGTCGATATTGTTCAGATAGAAACGATGTCTATACCAGCGATCTATGGAGGTTAGGGGTGCCCAGAACATCCACTCACTGGATGGGACTAAACATGACTAAACACCACCCCGACATGTGACTGCTGGTGTACATGGCCGACATCTTTTTGAAAGGGGAGATGCTTTTCCGTCGCTGTGTACACCGAGGCATCATGCTAAGCCACTGTAAGAGGTCACCATCCACCCTCCAGGGAGTGGAGCCACCTGATGCCACGTACTGGTCTGGTCTTGAGAGCAAACCTTTTGCACCCCAAAGTGGTACCCACGGGCTTTCACCAAAAGCATTCCTGAAATATCCCTTCAGTGCCTTCTGGATTCATTGTTCCTGTGGCTGGTGTGGCTGGCTCCCCCCATGATTTATATATGCCGGGTGTTCTTGATACCTTAATGGCACACATGGTTTGACCAACCGTTGGCGACGATCACCACGAGACACTGCTTTTCAGACGGGACGGTCGACCTGGAAATGTACCTGGGAAAAAAAACAGGTACATGTACATGCATGTACCGGTACCTGTTTAATATTGTATAACTCCCAAATTTCTACTGTACGAACTGGAGGGTCCAGGTAGAGAGGAAATGTCAAATCACTCTGTCATCCAGGTGAAAAAGACTCATCTATGCTTCTCATTCACCTTAGAGCCAGCAGTGGGCACGGATGTGCTTGTGTCTCCCAGTCCATTGCGGCTATGGTCAAAGCTTACGTGTTTGGGGTCATTGGGGTCAACTCCCACCAAGCCGAACAGCATGTAGTGTGGGCAGATCGCAACCCCTCCCCCCACCCAAACGCTAACAGCCCGACTGGTCCCTCAACACCCAGCGGTTGGTTCGACCCCAGCCCCCAAAATTCGAGTCCAACCCCTCCATATGAGTCAGCGTCAAAAATATATGCTTGGAGTGTTTTCGTTTCACTTTTGTCAGTCCCCTATCGTTTTCCATGGTTTTGGGTTTTGCAAGTATGAACATGAGTACCCTATCGTTTTCCATGCTTTTGACCCCCCTCTTGCGAACAGCAGCACACACACATGCACATGGACCAACCTGCCAGGTCTAGGGTAGGGGTAAAAAACACAGTGACAAGCGGTGCCAGGAGGATTTGCCTCTCACATTGCATGTAAATAAGAACTGGAATCTGCACAGCCTTGGTTAACATGCATTGAGAGCCCCCCAAATCCACAACGCGACTGCTAGCAACAGGATATATCCGATCCAGGAAGCCCAACATGGAGGTGACCCACACCTGCCTCCTCCGAGCTGCACACACATTTTCAGTTCTGAGAAGATGAAGTGCTAGAACTGGAGCTGTCGCTGCCAGATGACGAGTCCGAACTTTCTGAGCCAGGGTTCATTGCAGCCTTTTTTTGTGCTACAGCCCTTTGCTTTTGCTTCTCTGCCCATTGCTTTCTTTTCTCAATCAAGCAATGGGCATCTGGCACCCCTGTGAAGCGCAAGTTTGCCCCATCTGGAAGTAGGTGGCTCTGGTCGCTCTGCCTCCTGGTCAAGGTAGTCTCCTCGTGAAGACCCAGGGGCCTAACATCATGGTCTCACCGCTCTCGCCCAGTTTCAGACCAAAAGCCTCGGCGGTATGCAGGGGCAGAATCCTTGCTGGGCAGGAGTTCCAAATCACTGGTGAGATTGGTGGCTGCAACCATGTTGGAGAAGACATGGTTGAACACCTTGACGCCCAGCCTGCTGGGACCTTGAGCCACTGGAGCACTGGAAAGACAATATGTTCGAGTAATGTGAAATTTTTTCGCCTGCAGGCGATATCTTTCGTTCGCCGGCTTTTTCTGGGAACCGACATCATTGATGATCACCAACAACGGGGCAGTAGCGTCTGCGCTGCGTGCCGCCTGGTTTTTGCCTGCAAGAAACTTGCACAAGTCGGCAATCTCAACCAGGTCAGTGCCTTGCTTGCGGGCATCTTTCACATAGCGCTCAAAGATGGCAAATAATCTGTCTGCCTCGCTCTTGAAATGTTTTTCCACACCGTAGTGGACACATACTCGAGCTTGGTGCTGCACTGGCAGGACGCAGCAATAGTGGTGCAGTGCTTCGTAGGATCTAAAGTGCGGCCCGGCATCCGAAAGAAGATGAATGGTGTCCACCGGGTTTGTTCCCCTGCGTTGTCTCAGTGCCTGGTCGATGCACTGAGATGCCCGACAAGAGGTGTGATCCAAAATGTCTGATAGGATCAGAACCCGGGTCCACTCCACAGTGCCATCTCTTCTTCTTTCACTTACGACAGATCCAAAAA